TTTTTTATAAATTGTGTGAACTAGAGAGCTTTTAACATTATCAAGAAAGTGACGAGGTTTCCAGAAAAACAGTAAGAGGTAATAAATTCTTGATTTTCTCTAGTCTTTTAAATACAGTAGATACTTATGCAATTGTATTCCTACATTCTATAAATATTTTAAGCTAGCGGCCCGCCCCGGCTTCACACGGGTGTATTTAATACTATGGAAACCAAAGATTTGAATCGTTAGACATGCCCTTACCATAGTTTGACCACTCTGAAATCTGACAGCACTCGAATAGGCTAAGTCCCATATCTTCATGGCTTGTCTAATCAGTATTCATCCGAACATAGCGACAGTTATGATTTTATTTATTTTTTAAGCATTTAACTGCTAGATGTTTAAATCTAAAGAAAAGTTGACTAGAAAAAAAACTAAAGTTTACTAGCGAAGGATGCGGGTTCGAGTCCCGTCCGCTGCCTGGTCCGCGTGGATTTTTTTCTAGTAAACTGTTCTTTAGATTTAAACATCTAGCAGTTAAATGCTTAAAAAATAAATAAAATCATAACTATAATTGCTATTTCTTCTTTCAAATGTTTAATACTTGAAAAAGTATTCATTTGACATTGTGGGTTACCTACAATGCGAAGAGATGGAGCTGCCTTGCAGCTTAAGACTAGGAAAATTTCGACGCGGCTAATACGGCCGTGGTAGCATAATGGTCAGTGCATTCGCCCGGATAGCGAAGGATGCGGGTTCGAGTCCCGTCCGCTGCCTGGTCCGCGTGGATTTTTTTCTTCTAGTAAACTTTTCTGTAGTGACAGTTGTTTCTGTGTTACTCGGGAGCGCTGTAATGTTGATTCACTTCTGTTCTGTGTATAATAAATTACACGTGGTGCCGCGCGCCGCCGACGACACGCCGTTGGCCGGTTGTTTAGCGCGTATTACAAGTTTTTTGTATGGGGACACCACTTATTGTTGGAGTTTACTCCTTAAGAATCGATTTGCATATATAAGGGGCCCGGTATGAGAAAAATGTGAGGAGTAAAATCTATCCATGAATGACCTCGTTACGTTTTTACTGTCTACGCTGTAGCAGCCGTAGTGCTACAACCGTAGCACAGTATCGTAGCGTACCTTTATTGCCTACGACGACAAAGAAATCGCGTCGGTGTACCACCGCTCCATTCGTTGAACACAAAACCATTGAGCTTTAGAAGTAAACGTGGATATGGCATTTACGGTATCAATCTTTTTTAAGTTAAATAAACTCTTTTTGCGTCTGGTTAGACTATAGAATTTAAGGACTAAACTCCTGTCGTGCGCCGGAGCTGACACACACATTTTTTTTGACTTAACTTTTTTTTTATATTTCCGTTATATAGTAAATATAATAAAACATATATATATATATAGGGATAGTATCAAATATCTGCTTGTAAGGGTTCCAATGATATAATTAAAAAAAATGTATGGGGACCCCCCCATACATTTTGACTATATTACAACATTTTTTATTTTTAGATTTTTTCCTACGCTTACAGATAATTATCGAGCTGGATTCCAAATGTCATCCTTCTAGGTCATCTGGAAGTAGGTTAGATTTAGGTACTATTATATGTCAGTCAGTGAGTGCTAAAATTTACGACTTTTTGACCTTGATATCTTTATAACCGTTTGAGCCAGCTTCATGTTTGGGCTTCTAGATGTCCTTATGGATATAATTAAACACACGTAGTTTTATGTGTTTACGTTAAAGAGGTACTAGCATTGCTAATGTCCATGGGCGAAGGGGACTACTTAATATCAAGTGGCCCGTCTGCTAGTCTGCCTTAGAAGACAATAAAAAAAAACGGGCAAAAAATCCGCCTCGAAGGACCAAGCACAGTCTATATAAATACCTATACTTAGAATGGACGTATTCCTTCAGTTCAACGATGCAAGTACCAAGCTTTTTGAATTTTATGCTGGAAAAATATTAAGATCTTGTGGCATTCACAAAAAACTATAGTTAACGCGGACGACCGGTCGCGGGCGGTCGCTAGTTGCAAATATTAGTAAGTATCGCCGCTCACGGGCCACACGCCACAGCCACAAACGCTGCTACGAGCAGCTAGAAGCGGCTACTAAAGTGGCTGAAGCGCGCGACAGCGGCCGACTAAGGTAAAGGAGAGAGGGGTGGGGAATCGCGCGAGTGACGTGTGGCGGCGTTTTGTATCGGCGCATTAAGTGGCCGGTGCGGGCCACAATAAGCGAGTAACGACGAGTTGTGGCGTGTGGCGGCCACCGGCGTACCGTGTGTGGCGAGTCCATATAAAATGTATGAAAACTACAAGAAATATGCCGGTGGCGGCGTTTTGTGGTTGTGGTCGGTGGCCCGTGTGCGGCGTCACTTACACTGGCAAAATTCTAATTGGCTTAGGCGTCAGATTGGCTGCTGCAAATACGAAAGATGGACGAGCAAATCCAATTTTTCTTTGTCTTATCTCCTCTTTCTACCCCTTTCGGAAACTGACGAAATGAAACGTACGTGCGTATTCGTTGAAAAATTAATCTTATTAGCTCCATGTTGGAATACCCTTGACTAAGCAGCCTTTTGGACAACAAAACTTGATTACGCGCCAAATTCGACTCTATTCCAAGCCGAAGAGAAACCCTAATTTCCAAATTTCGGACAGAGCCGCATACTAACTTGTGGACTACAGCAAATGAACTCCTATTGTTATGTTATTAAGGTTCTTTTGTACTTTACGTGCTTGTCTTACGAGTAAGCGAATTATTAAAGGTTTTATGGTGTTTACTGTAAAATTGTTTAAGCAAGATTAATGGTGTCGCTATATGAACCTGAGCTTAAATTTGAAATGAGAAACAATTAAACACATTCTAGTTACATTGTTGGAAATGTAAATATAAATCGAAATTTTGCACAAATCCTAGGGATTTTCTGAAAACACTGACATCCTTTATCCATGGGGATAATAGACAATGGCGATGACATTGAACAATTTTAATAATAACGAAATTTTGAAGTGAAACTTCTTTACGCACGTTAAACTTTAAGCTGGCTGGTTAGGCGTTACGAAAAGTATGTTCAGGCAAGGCGAACGGGAGTTGAGTGGGGGGTATAAGCAAAAGAAAGCAGTGCGCACGCACATCTTCTTTCTCTCTTTCTCTTATAGCTAGTAAATGAAATATGTATATATTTCATTTACTAGCTATAAGATGAATATACATGAATATATTGTACACAGACACACACACACACGTGCTAAAGGAGCTAAAGAAGCTTCACTTCAGTCGTGTGGTCATATGCACACTTTTTTTTTCGGGCTCTTCGCCGGCACTTGCCCTGTCACGCTTGCTACGCTCGCTCGACTCGCGTGTCATAGTCACAACACTAACCTACCTAACTTAACCTTGTGTGAAGCTAAAAACTCAAAAATCCAAGCTAATTTATAATAAGCCTAGATCCTATATTTTTTAGTAAGATTAAGGAATTTCGTTTTGTCTAAAAATCCGCGTAATCACAAAATACCTAGGATTTTCGCGAAACTTTGCCATTTATCAAATCATCCCACATATATTCAATTTGAGATTGTTTATTTTTTTCTTAAATTCTGACGACGTAGCCTGGAAAGGCTTCAAACATCAAAAATGTAATAAAACTACACATTTTAAACCCGTTTAAGCGTGTTTCATTTATTGAGATTGTCTGATAGCTCCTTTATTACGTACTTATTTATTCATTAAACCGATATTAGAAAAAAAGGAGAAATAAAAAGTAGTTATTGGACATACACGCAAACACATATGTAGAAATAAAAGAAAAAACAATAAGCAAAAAAACAATATAATTAAAACAAAACACAGAAATACAAAGAAGAAAGAAGAATGGCTAATCAGGACCCTGCCTCAGCTAATGCTGTTATCGTGGGAACGATTGTTCTCACCACTTACCTCCCTCCTACAACCCGGGGTGCTTTACAAGAGGCTGAAGAAGCAACTTGCAGGCCGGCAAGATGGGGATAGTTAGTATGGCAGGTAGAACAAAAATAAGCAAAAGAACAATAAAATTAAAGCAAAACAGCGAAATACAAAGGAGAAATAAGAATGGCTAATCAGGACCATGCCTCAGCTTAATGCTGCTATCGTGGGAACGAATATTCCCGCCACTTTCGTCCCTCCTACGACTCGGGGTGCTTTACAAGAGGGTGAAGAAGCAACTTGCAGGCCGGCAAGGTGGGGATGGCTGGTATGGCAGGTAGAACAAAAATAAGCAAAAACACAATAAAATTAAAACAAAACACAGAAATACAAATGAGAAATAACAATGGCTAATCAATACCCTGCCTCAGCTTAATGCTGTTATCGTGGGAACGAATATTCCTGCCACTTACCTCCCTCCTACAACCCGGGGTGCTTTACAAGAGAGTGAAGAAGCAACTTGCAGGCCGGCAAGGTGGGAATGGCTGGTGTGGCAGGTACAACTGCTGGACCAGCTATCTTCGCGTCTAGACTTCACCGTTACTTAACATCGGGAGGCGAGAAGTAATCTGCTGCCCTTTGTATTAATAATAAAATATTGCGTGAAAATTTTTAGAATTGAGCCTCAGGTAGGGTTACCATCCGTCCGAATTAATCTGCACATGTCCGGACTTTGTCCGCCTCTTTAATTTGTTTTGCCTCTTTAATAGTATGTATTTATATATGTATTTTTAATTTTATTCGTATACATTTTTAATATTATTTATTATATCTATATTTACGTGTATATTTAGCTTTATACCGCCATTCGTGTTTTTTTTCCAAAGGTTGACTGGGAGAGAATGCTATTAGCATCAAGTCCGCCTTTTGTACCATTCTCTTGTATTTTGGTCATTAAAGTTGAAAATAAATGAATATAATAATTTGTCCGTTTTTTTATAACAAATACCTTGCTTCTGCGATAGATATAAAAATGATGAAAAAACTCACAAACGTATAATTTTGTGTTAATATTTTATTTTCCTTTGTTCCAGTTATGCATTTCAAGGGGAATGTTGCGCTTCTACTGAATTGTGATCGCTGAGGAACTAAGCGGAAACCAAAATGGCGGAAGCGGAAGGAGGGAGCGAACAAGATGATGTTTCGTTCTTACGTACGGTAAGTGAAAATATTTACTTAGTGAAGTGAAATTTTTATCACGTATCGCAACAATTTTATTTCGTTATCATTAGTATGCCGCAGTTCATTTTCAATTATTATTTAAAAATCAGCTCATTTAAAAAAAAACTGGCTGTCCCAGCGAACTTCGTACCGCCATAAAAAAATGGGGGTTGGTGGTAGAAGGGTGAAAATTTAGGGTATTTATGTATGATGTATCATAAAAAATAAAAACAAGAAAAAATGGCCAAACACAATTAAAGGGTGTGGTACCCTTAATATTTAGGGGGTTGAAAAAAAGATGTTGTCCGAATCTCAGACCTACTGAATATGCATATAAAATTTCACGAAAATCGGTCGAGCCGCTTCGGAGTAGTTGAATTACGCTCACCGTGACAGTAGAATTTTATATATTAGATATATAACAAGCATCGGTGGTTGAGTGGTAAAAACCCCCTACCACGCGGGCGGCTCGAGTTCGCTTCCCAGTGGAAGCAATACCTTCTTTTTATAAGCCAGAGTAACACTAAAATTTGCGACGATGTAAAAACGATTTAAAATTTTAAATTGCATCGTGGTTTCATAAAACCGAACCCATTTTTGAAGTGATAACTTCTTATGGGAGCGTAAACCGCTTTGTTACGTAACGCGTTACGGCGCCTGCCTGTCTGGCTTCCCTTCCTCTCATACGTACGACAGCGGTAGGTAGACTCCTCTCACTGTAACCCGCAGCGCCGCTTAGATTAGTTTAAGTTATCACTTCTGTCGTGCGCAGACGCACACGCTCTTTATTTTATTTTACTTATAGGTAGGTTAGGTATCGCTGGATCGTTGTGTGGAAATCCCTAGAGGAGGCCTATGTCAGCCTAGGCCTAGAGGAGGAGGCCTAGGCCTAGAGGGATTTCCACACAACGATCCAGCAATACCTAGGTTAGGTTAGGTATCGCAGAATCGTTGCGTAGAAATCCCTAGAAGAGGCCTATGACCAGCAGTGGACGTCTATCGGCAAATAATGACATTGGGTAGTTTTCGAAGACTCCGTAGCTGAAAATTTAAATAATTAATTATAAATAAGCCTATGACAAATCATATCTTTATGTACTAAAAAAAACTAAATTTCTTTGATTGAACGCGCTAATCCCAAGAAGTACTTTCTGAATTAGTTTAGTGTTCGTAAGCCCAATTTATCAGGGCATATTGTAGACAGCATAACGTCTGACATCACGCTCCGGAATAGAAGCGGAGCATCAATGAAAATTGTTACAAAAACGGGAAATTATTACTTGTGAGAGCTTTCGTTGCGTGCGCTGCGTAAGAGGTTATTAAAGCTACCCGAACATAATTTATAACCATTTGTTCCCGTTTAAATGTTCTTCACAAAAAATTAAAACACAGAGGCATAGTATAACTAATTATCATTCTATGGGTAAAATTTCTTTTCATCATCATCATCATCATCGACCCATGCTCGTCAACTGCTGGACATAGGTCTCCCCTTATGCACGCCACTGCTCCCGATTTTCTGCCACTCTCATCCAGCCCACTTCAGCCAGCCTACGAATGTCATCATCCCATCTTGTCTCAGGGCGTCCCACACTACGTTTACCGAGTCGGTCTCCACTCAAGAACTTTACGGCTCCATCGGCCGTCAGTTTAGCCCACTGCTAATTCGGTGGGCTATGTCGGTGACTCTGGTTCTCTGTCGGATTACATCATTTCTGATGCGGTCCTTCAGGGATACTCCGAGCATAGCCCTTTCCATAGCTCTCTGAGCGACTTTAAACTGGTGGACCAGTCCAGCCGTGAGTATCCACGTCTCGGCGCCGTATGTCATAACTGGGAGGACGCACTGGTCGAAGACTTTCGACTTGAGACATTGAGAGAAATTTCTTTTACATATATCTAATTATGAGCAGGAAATCGTTGAAAGTCAAACCTGTCCCTATCGCATGGTATTTGTTAATGCGTGACAGCAATAGTTTTTTCAAATATCTGTGTTCAAAAATGTCTCTCAGCTCGCGTCAGATATTTTACACAAACAATATTAAGTTGTTATACTATGCCTCTATGTTTTAATTTTTTTGTAAATACTTATTAAATCTCCACACTAGACGTCTTTGGTGGTGATAAAAAAAACGACGGGTTGCACTCCGGGAGTGCCGGCAGAAGTGAAAACTTGAATATTAACGTTGTGCATTTTTGATATTTTGGAATGGTTAGGGAATAATTTTGCACGAATTGCTTTAATTATCAGTATATAAGTACTATCATGTCTGTGGTAGAATACAATATTTATTTATTGCGCTATCGTACACAAACATGACAATTTATATTACATTAAAAAAGTTTATCTCTCAGAAAAATCAACTTACATGAATGACATTTAAGCGCACCTAGCGACATCTATTGTAAAAAAATGCATTTTCTTCGCAATAAAGCTGCCACGTGGACGTCCTAGATAGAGACTTATTATTATAATACGGTAAAATAAAATATTGCTATGTTTCGTCCAATATATTGAAAGTCAACAACCTTTCCAATTTTATTGCGTGTCATGATGCGATCAGCCCCCGTGTTTAACCGGACGCGAGTTTAACACTTTTTACCCATACATAAAAAAAGTGTACAACGCCGCTAAAGAAGTTTTCACTTCAAAATTTGTTTATTTTTGGCGTTTCCCGAGGGCTTCTAGTTTCCTTGAAACACAAGTTATCGATAAAAGAAAAACATAGGAGCATAGAATGAGTAAAATTTTATTTTATTTATGAAAATCAATATTTTAGTGTTAATTATCAAAAAGGAATCAGTCGTTCTCGACTCTTGTATGGAAACAACATTGCACGCTCTTAAGTGGAAACGCAGCATGCTATGATGTTGCTAATTCATAAGTTTTTTTTTTAAAGTTAGGTCCGACAAATGACTCCACCCCACCTGATGTTAAGTGATGGTGAAGTCCAGACGTGAAGATAGCTGGTAAAGCAGTTCTACCTGTCACATCAGCCATCCTCACCTTGCCAGCCCGCATGTCGCTTTTTCACGCCTCTTTTAAAAGATCCCAGGTTGTAAGAAGGAGGGAACACGTGAGCGGGCAGAGCATTCCATTTACGGATAGTGCGACAAAGAAATGTGTCACCAAATTTCTTTGTACGCGTTGGAATTGTGGCGCGCGTGGTCCTCTGAAGGAAAGGGGAAGGTGGAATAAGAGAGAATAACTCTTCAGAACACTCGCCGTGGTACAGACGATAGAACGCGCTTAGTGACGCAACGTCACGGCGTAATTGAAGTTATTTACTACGGTCGGTTGCAGTAAAACTCCAGATATGGATGCCGGTGTGATTGCCCGTTGAATATTAAATGCTGGCACGCCTGGAGTTTACGAGTAGCAAATAGTTCCATTGTTTCTTGGGACAAGGGACAGATGTTTGTGGTTTGTGGCTTTTTGGGTCACTCAAAATCGTTTTAATAAGGTTAGACTGTGTTCTTGTATGTCAAAAGTTGGTGCTTACAAAGGACATGGCTAAGAAACCGCTCTGAACATGTATAAATATTTCGCACTAGCCTGTAACTATTTAATTTCTTAAGTTTTTGTAGGTACCCAATTAAATTGGTTTGAACGTTTTATTAGTCCGATTTATTTAAGATTACATTATTCTTGACGTTCCGGATTCTTTAAAAGCTTAGTAGGTGCAAGAATAAAGAATGAGATATTTACGAGTACATTTTTTAAATGAATAATGAAACACAATAGCCCTAAAATGAAAATGAGAAATTGCTCAAATTTAGTTGTAAATTTATAGAATTTCGTCCAAATAGGGCCTTTAACGTTTCTCATTTTTAGGGTTCCTTACCTCGAAAGGAAAATCACTGTTGTCCGTCTGTCAGCACCCTTTTTCTCAGGAAGCGTGGAGGTATCAAGATGAAATTTATAACAACTACTCAGGTCTACTGTCCCTTGAAGCTGTGAAAAAATCAAACATCTAAGCCAATACAATCAAAAGCTACAGCCGTGTATGCCGCAAATTTCCGTAAATGTTCGTAACTCGAAAGGCAATCAAATCCTACAGGGTACTTCCCGTGAACTCAGAATCTTGAAATTATTTACGGAGCAACGTCTTATTGCACAGATAAAAGAAAAATTGCGAAAACAGTAAATTATTAGTTACATCTCATATACGAAATTCATATATTTATTGAAGTTTCGCAGCCAATTCAGGTCTGCATTGTCAGAATAATGATGTCAGAGTGATGTGCGTAAAAACCTAAGAAACAAATATCTCATATATTTTTTTCATAATTATTATATACCTAGAGGTTTGTACGGAACCCTCGGTGCGCGAGTCCGACTCGCACTTGGCCGGTTTATTTTTTATTTTATTTATTTAAACTTCTTTCAATAAGCAAGCGGCAGACTTAATGCCATAGACATTCTCTACCAGTCAACCAGTATGAGTGTTGGAGACAAACAAGTATGGCGATAGGGCAAAGTTGCTAAAAATGAAATCAAATGAAAATTAACATATCGCAATAAAAATAATAATACTTAAATACAAATTGATGCACATATAAGTATTAAATACTCATATAACCATACATAAACATACGTATGCATGTGTGTATATGTATATTACTAGCTGTGCCCCGTCGTGTTACCCGCAGTTTATTAGGGATAATTTCTCGTAACCTAAGTGTTCAGGGTGTCAGCTAACTCCATACCAAATTTTGTTAAAATCGCTCCAGCCGTTAAGACGTGAAAAAGTTACAAACAACTCACAAACTTTCGCCTTTATAATATTAGTATGCATATATATATATATATATATATATATATATATATATATATATATATATATATATATATGCACATGCATAACATACATAAAATACAATAAATATAATATAGGTTTATCTTCCAGTGACTGTGGTTTTGCTCTTATTTTCCCTTACTTAATTGATAGATATAGGTATATCGTTTACTGCATCATGTGATACATTAAACACCA